GCTCTCCAATACATGTGTCCTACCTCTTTCCTCCTGGCCTTCTCTACTGCACTCACCTTAGACACAATGCACAATGTCTTTTGTCACATTTCTGCCTCCAGGCCTTGTCTTCTATATCTGGAAATCTTGGGGGGGGGGGTTGGATTTTTTTAACTTAATATATATATATATATATATACATATTTTTTTTTTTCCGGTGGAACCGGGGATTGAACTCAGATCCTTGCGTTTGCCAGTCAAGCGCTTATCCTACTGAGCCATCTCCCCGGCCCCCTAACTTAATTTTTTGATACAGGGTCTCACTACGCAGTTTGGACTCAAAGTGATACTCTTAGCTCAGCCTGCTTGATGCTGGGATTACAGGTGTGCACGCCAGTTTTGTAGTCAGTATAGCACACCTGGAGTTTCAGGGCTGACACAGCATGTGGTGCTGAGAATCAAACTCGGGACTCTGCACCAAGTTTATATCCTTATGCTGCCAAGCTATCTCCCCAGCACTCTTTTAAGTTTTTTGTTTGTTTTTCTGATTCTTTCTGTACTGAAAAATTGAGCCAAAAGTCTTGCTAAATCACTAAGGTGTCTAGGCTCAAACTCACAATCCTCTTGCCTTGGCCTCCCAAAGTTCTGTAATCATAGATATGCAACAGCTATACAACAGCTGCAGATTATCTTCCTCCATGGCAACTATCACTACCTGATAAAAATGTTGTTTATAAAACTACGTATCAAGACCCTATCTGTGTAGCCTAGAAGTGGCAGATTCCATTCAAATCAAGTGGGAGGCCCAGAAGAGAGGGAGAGAGGAAAAAAAGGAAAAAGGAATAGAGACAGAGGGAGAGCACAGAGGGAGAAAATGACTGAGACATTACTCTAAAGTAACATGTGTTTTGTGGTCATTGTTGGTGTTTTGTTTTTCTTTCTGTACTAGTAACTGAACCCAAAGCTGGGTATGGTGATGCACACCTGTAATCCCAGCACTTAGGAATCTGAGGCAGGAGGATGGAGAAAGGAGGATCAATGTGAATTCAGGCCAGATTAGGCTACAGAATGAGTTCAAGGGCAGCCTGAACTGCATAGAGATACCTTGTCTCAAGAGTGAAACATACACACATACACACATACACACACACACCCCCCCCAAGACTGAACTCACAGCCTTCACACTAAACTATATCCCTAGTCCCTTTTACTTATAGACAAAAATTCACTATTGCCCAGGCTAGACTTAAACTTAATAGTGTCTTGCTTCAGTCTCCCAGAGTGCAGGGATTACATGCATATACTGCCATGTGCAGCAGAAAAATGTTTGATCTTAATTTAACTAAGTCTTTTTTTTTTTTTTTTTTTGCGGAACCAGGGATCGAACTCAGGCCCTTGTGCTTGCCAGGGAAGCGCTTATTCCACTGAGCCATCTCCCCGGCCCCCTAACTAAGTCTTTACATTTACCTTTCAGTTTATAAAAACATAAGGGAAAGATCATGTGGAAATAATTATTATAGAAGTCCTTAATTTTAGATAAGTCTTTGTACAACTGACTTATTCTTTTCTTTTTTTTTTTTTATTAATTTTAATTTTAGGCTGGGGAGATGGCTCAGTAGGCCCTGGCAAGCGCAAGGGCCTGAGTTCAATCCCCGATTCTGCCAAAAATAAATAAATAAACAAATACTTTTAATTTTATTGAGAAACAAATATGAATGAAACAGTTTCAAAGCTGATTAATAGGACAGTTTCGATAATCAATACATTGTACATTGTTATCTTCTTAGTGGTTATCCATAGTACAAGAAGCAGACAGGATATCCTGTCCAAACACTATTAGTATACCTCTTTCTTCTCATTGAATTAAGCAAAAGTAGCTGTATATCTATCCCAACTATTTTGTATATATAAATACAAAATGTTCTTTCCTTTGTATCCCCTTTTGACTTATTCTTTTCAACAAATAGCATATTAAAAAGGTTTGAAAGGGCTGGCCAAATAGATTAGTGGATTAAAGCACCTGCTTAGGCATACTCAGAGGCCAGGATTCAATCCAGGCCTGCCATGCCAGTCCCACCTCTGGGGCACACTGAGATGGCAACTGAGACTGGGCAAAGTGGTACACGCCTATAGTCCCAGCTCTTTGGGAGGCTGAACATAGGCAGATCACTATGAGTCTGATCTACCCTATAGACCCTTACTAAAAAATACAAAAAAAAAAAAAAAAAAAAAAAAGGGTTTGGAGTTGGATGTAGTAAAATGCACCTGTAGTCCCAAGTACTTAAGAAGGCAGGAGGATGGCTTGAGCCCTGGTGTTCAAGGTCAAAGTGTAGGCAACATAGAGATATTTCATTTAAAAAAAAAAAGTTTAAGTGGGCAATGTTGACCTACACAAAGAAAAATCTGGGGCCGGGGAGATGGATCAGTGGAATAAGCGCTTCCCTACCAAGCGCAAGGATCTGAGTTCAATCCCCAGTTCCGCCAAAAAAAAAAAAAGATTAAAAAAAAAGAAAAATCTAAGGCTGAGGGTATGGCTCAGAGGCAAAGTGCTTGCCTAGCACGCTCAAGGCACTGAATTCAATCCCTAGCACTATTTTTAAAAAGGCAGAAGGAAGTAAGAGATAGGAATAGTGGGAGGAGAAAAAGGCATCTGAAAGAATAACTAAGTATAGTATAATCAAAGTTAAAGACATTTTGGGCACAACTAGGGAAATCTAGACTGGGTGTTAGACAAAGAGTTACTGAATTATTGTTATGTGGTAAAAGCCATATAAGAGAAGTAAATGCATTTATTTTGTTCCAATGAATACTTAAGTGCTAGGGAGTACAGCATCATGATTTCTACAATTTACTCTAAAATACATACAGCCGGCCAAATAGCTCAGCAGATTAAAGCACCTGGGCCAAGGGTTTGATCCCTGGGCCTGCTGGGCCGGTACCGGCCCTGCCCCTGGGGCTTTGTGCTGAGCCAGCAATTGAGACGGGGCGTGGTGGCATGTGCTTCTAATCCCAGCTCTTAGGAGGCTGTAAACAGGTGGGTCACTACAAGTCTGATCTAGTAGTGAGACCCTGAACACCCTATAAACCCTTCCCTAAAATTAAAAAAAAATGAATAAAAATAAAATAAAATACTCTATAATTTACTCTAATAGAAAAAGTAAACACATAATAATACTAACAACTGTTAGGCCTAAATAAGAATATAAATCTCAAAACTCAGTAGGCTGAGGCAGGAAGATCACCTTAAGTTCAAGACCAGCTAGGGCTACAAAATGAGTTCAAGGCCATCCTGGAATGCAAAGCAAGACTCTACCTGGAAATATCAGTAACTATTTTTCTGAATGTGTGAAGATTCAAACTGACCAAAAAAAAAAAAAAAAAAAACCAAGTGAAATATGATTTAAAGCTAATGAGTATAAACTATTCTTTCTTTACAGTCAAGTTTAATGAGAATAGAATGGTATATTAAGGAAGGTTTTGTCTTGTTACTTCTAAGTCATGACTTAAAATTATTTTCTTAAAACAATACAAAAAAAAAAGAAGAGTGAAAGATTTAAAGTAAAGAAATAATTAATGAAGGGGCTGGTGAGATGGCTCAGTGGTCTAAAGCACCTACTTAGAACAAGCTTAGCAAAGCACAGGGACGGTGGTTCAATCCCCCAGCACCACATGCCAGCCAGCCCCCACCCCCTGGTGGGCTGAGCTGGCCACACACACACACACACACAAATAAATAAATAAAATTTTAAAAAACATTAAAAAAAAAAAAAAAGAAAGAAAGAATTAATGAAGCAAGGACCTGGAAGAATCAGACCCATATGTGCAAACTTTGTATTGTCTTCTTTGTGTGAGAACCTAATAGAATCTGAAGGGTATAATAGATACTAGGAAGAGAATGAACTTATTCAAAAGGAAAGAGTTACTGAGTTGAGAAGGATAGGAGAGGGAGCGAGAGAAAGAGATTTATCTAGGTATGTAAGCATGGTTAATTTGGACAACTGTACTATGCGTTTCTGCTGGTCCATAGAAAAGAGCAGATAATAATTTGTTTCATCTCCTTTTTCCAGTTGTTTGTACTTTTTCTCTTTTTAATTTCTCATACATTTCTTTTTCTTCTTTCAATTTTACATGCATATATTGGGTAATATGAATAACTGGTTGGAAGACAACACTGTATTACAACAAATACTGTGAAATTCCTATTACTTTGTTAAGTGAAATTCTGTTATCACTTGTAATTTTTTTTGTTTAATTCTAATTTGTACTCTCCTTAAAAAAATTTTTAAAAAATTAAAAAGAATCAAGAAAGAATACTAACATGTATACTGAATTAGTATTATGAAGGAATAAAATACTGTACTCTGAAAAAGGAAGAAAGAAATATAGCCAAGCTTATCAAGTAGATGACAAGATTTGAGTATAGATGAATTACCAATAAGGTAATTCACTGAAATTCAAATATGGCAAAAAAAAGACTGGGAATTTGGGAAGAATGGTATGGTTTTAAAGAACCACTACAGGGAGTGAGAAGGTAAATCAGAGCAATCTAAATATGCATGGTGGAGCACTAGAAACAGAGTTTACTATCAGCAACCTCACTACCTGTACAGCAACACCTGGCTATATAAATACTGAATATAGAAGGACAGAAGAGGTACACTTATTTAGACCAGAGGTTACTGTATATCAGACAGGAATCAATAAAGTAGAACAAAATAAGATAAAGAAGTAAAAGACTAAAGATGAAGTCTGATAAGTAAGCAGGATAAATGAAATTTTAAAAAAATGGATCATACAAGTGATAAGATCTAAAAAGAGAACTAGTTACTAGGAAGACTAAGGAACCCTCATCCTCAAGTTTTCTTCCTTCTTTCTTTCCCTTCTTTTTCTTTTCTTCTTTCTTCCCTTTCTCCCCACCACCAAAATTAAAGGAACTTATCGCTAGAATGCTTTGTCACTTCCACTGAATTTCCTATTCAACAAACCTCCATAACTAAAACAAGGAAACATAAAATACTTACTTTTTCATTTTTTTTGAGTTGTATTTGACTTGGTAAGCTGCTTGGATTAATTTGTCTGGACTACCATCAAACTGGTGTGGAATGACCTTCTGAAAGTGCTAAGATACAATAAAAGAACAACAACTGAGCCACTTAGTGCCACTTGTCATTAACCAATAGTGAAATCTAAAAGCTTGCAAGAAATCATGAGCCAACTTACCTGTAACATCCCTTCCATGTCAAGTTGCATTAATTCTGCCTGATTCATTTGAAGAAGGGCTAATCCTACTCGAAACACTATTTCTAAACCCTGATGAAACAAATTAAATGAAGCCAAATTTGTTTTACTGTTCCATCATCAAAAACAAATAATTCAAAATAACACTAAGGTAAACACTCAGGAATCTAAACTAGGGAATGGCAAACATTTTCTGTAAAGAGCCAGATAATAAACATTTAGGCTTGGTAAGCCATCTGGTCTGTCATAACTATTCAACTCTGCCACTATACTCAAAAGCAAACATACAAAACAGACAAATGGACAAGGCTGTACATATGAAAACTTTATTTATAAAAAGAAAGGGCAGGACAGATCTGCTATGAAAATCATAGTAGCTCAGTAAGGGAACTGCAGTTTTTCAACTCTAGTCCACAGGCAATTTAGATAAATGGTATCCCAAGATGTATATAATAACCATATTAAGTTCAGAGAACAGAAAACAAAGGATCACTAACAATATGTTCACAAACTAGAATAAAATTATACTAATTACTATTTAGATAACAGCTGTATTGTAAGAATATTAACTATAAGGCAAATTTACCTCTCATAGCTCTCACTATATCAGTGAGGCGGTGATAGAGATTTGATTAAGAGGGTTGGCTCCAAACTTTCACTGCCTATGTTTGACACCTGCTTAGTACAATCACATATGTGTGTGTCCTTGCACAAGTTGTTTAACCCTTCTATAAGTCTCAGCTTCCTCATAGAGGTAGTGACAGTATCTACCTTAAAGGTCTCTAATAATGTTTATACAAGATTTTTTCTACGTGAGTAGTTTATGCAGGGGCCCATGAGATTCCTTATTTCTCCCCTTTATCATCCTGCTACAATAAGCTCAATGACCCTTTGCTTGGCTCTTGTTCCTAGCCTGCTCATTACTTACCTCAGACATAAAGATATCAAATATCCTTGTTGCAATTGGTAGTGGAAATGTTGTAAGAAAAACAGTCAAAAACCAGGATGATGCATACATTGAGGTATGGAAACTCTGAGACTGAAAATGTACAAAGAGCTCAGGAAGATGTTCCTGGAGAGAAGAAAAGAATTAGTAAAGCCAAGATGTGGTGGTGCACACCTGTAATCTAAAAAAAAAAAAAAAAAATTTAGTATTTTAAATCAAATCATTATGATTAACTAATATCAAACCTGAAATAAGACCAAGCATGGTGGCACATGCCTATAATCCCAACTACAAAGTAAGTAAGTAAGTAAGTAAGTAAGTAAGAAAGAAAGAAAGAAAGAAAGAAGAGAGGGAAGGAGGAAGGGAGGGGAGGGGAGGGAGGGGGAGGGGAGAGAGAAGAGGGGAAGGGAGGGGAGGGGAGGGGAGGGGAGAGGGAGAAAGGGCAGGGCAGGGCGGAAGGGAGGGAGGGAGAGGGAGAGGGAGGGAGGGAGAGAGAGAGAGAGATCAGTCAATTAAACATAATACCAAAAAGCTATAGAAATTGACATGTTCAGGATAGTGGCTATTATCTGGTAAGAGAAGGTAAGGATGTTGACTTGGAATTCTGAGTAGAGTATAACATGTGATTAATAAAAATAACTTACAGCCATATTACATTTAAACTAGGTACCCATCCCAACTATAGTCACTATAGTCACCAGTGAGTGATCATGTGAAGCAATTTTTATATTTATTTAATGTTGTTGGTGGGTACACAGCTGTCTGATGTTTTCTATCCTTTTCTACACTTCTTTACTGTCTGTCTGTCTGTCTGTCTGTCTCTCCCCCTGTGGTGCACCCCCCTCCCCCACTGAGATAGGGTCTCACCATGCAGTTCAAGCTGGCCTTGAACTCATTATGTAGCTTAGGCTGGGCTTGAACTCACAGGGATCCCCCTTGCCTCAGACTCCTGAGTGCAGTTACAAAAGTGTGTTGCCATGCCAGGTTATATAAACAATATTTCCAAAAAATGTAAAGAAAAGAAATGCTACACTGAAATACCTTCAGGTGCTGCCTACCATTAATAATTTATTATCTTCCTATGGAACAAGAAAAATATGCAAAATACAGGTGCTTCAGTAATTCAAAACAGAAGCAACACATTAACTAAAAATATACCAAGAACGTTTAAGGTTGACTAAAAACAAGCTGTTCAGAAAAGCATTTTTTTCTTTAAAATATAAAAATGTTTTACATATCTCATCCTTCTCACCACTCAAAAGATACAGGACTCCATAATTTCTACAGGTGAGACCACCAGGAAAGGATACTCAAAAGAATATTTACACCTTCTTATTATAGGAAATGTGCCAGAATTGTTCATATTATATAATAAAACCCAGAAAGGTAATATATTTCAAAGGTAGTATGACTTGATTTTGATTCCACTCCTCTTTTCTCCATCCTCATTTAGTCACCAAATCTCTGACTCTTAAAAAATGACAAAAATACGGGAAAAAATACTTATAGACTAGCAAAATGCAGGGCGAGAAAAAAAAAAAAAGGAAGTAAAAGTGAGGACTAAAAGAAAGAATACAGCTGGCTATGAAATAAATGAACTAATCAACACCAGTATCGTAATGTCATAACGCTCCTGTTCAGAGTTCAGACTAGATTAACAGTAATAAGATATAATAGCATGTAAGGAAATTCATGCATGCAAAAAGTTATGGTGCATTTGGCAAAAATGCTGAAGGTTTGAAAACTTAGCAGGTCTGAAACTTTTCTAACTTAAAGTTAGAAAACTGCAGTCAAGTTCTAGATGTATTTTACCTGAAAATAGCACCTCACTGGGAATTAGGCCAAGTGCCATGGCTTCTGTCTAAATGTCCCCCCAGAGCCTCATGAAGTCAGTCATAGGTGAGGCTTTTTCAGAGGTGGCTAAATCTAGAGTGTGTGATGCTGGAACTGATTCAAGATGCAGTGCTAACCTCAAGGCATAGGATTAAGGGTGTGAGTAGCACCCACCCTGAGTAGTCTAGATAAGCTAAAAGGGGCAGAAAGATGCTGTTAAGGTCCCTCCTTGCTTTCTTTTGCTACCTTCTGTTTGCCATTAACTGGCTCTCCTCTGCAATACTCTTCTGCCAAACCATTCCACCTCGAAGCCAGCTAAATGCGTGCTGAAACTTCTACAAACTGTGAGTTAAACTAAGCCTTTCCTTCTTTAACTTTGAGTGCAGGGTATTTTGTCTCAGCTACGAGAAAAGTAACCAAGATATCCAGTCACGTATTAATTGAAAAAAAAAGATCATGTGATAAGAGCACTGATTTATCTCAACTGCTTTAATACTTCTAACATTATGTTTGCTAAGATATCACTCAGATCAAGATGACAAAAATACAAAACTGCACTTTTACCTGTATCATGCATTCAAATTGGTACATACAAAGGCCCAATTCTGCCATACTTGGTTTAAAAAGTTCACGAAGTCTATAATCTTGCATTAATTTAACAAATACACAGAAAGCTTCTTCTTCTGGCATCTGCATTAAGAGAAAAAAGTTAACAGAGGTTACTATTCTGTGATACACAAGTAAACCAAATTATTTTAAACCAAGTACCTATCTAACCATAAACACTGTGTTGAATGCCACATGAAGCAATGTCAAGAGCAACTAAGAGTCAGGGGGCTTAAAGCTCCCATTCTGAGAATAAAAAGTCAAAGAAGTCTTATAGCCTCTGACACTAACCTCAATTTGTTTGATTCATCAATTCAATCAACAAATATTCCTTTAGAACCATATATTTTTCTTTTTCCTGGATATATATATCCATGAACAAAATACCACTATCTCTCTTTTCAAGGAGCCTGCAATTTGGGGGAAGGGGAGAATAGACAATATAAAAAATAAATCAACATGTATGTATGTATGTATGTATGTATGTATGTATGTTTGATGGCAGTGAATGGCATGGAAAAGTAACTACCATAAGAGATGGTGCTAGGGAAGCACTCCGCTGTTTTTGCAGGCCAGGGAAGGTCCCTTCATATGGTAACATTTAGCAAAATTCTGAAGAAAGTGAGGGAGCATCTGAGAAAAGAACAGTCCTAGAAGACAGAAGAAGGGACTTGTTGGTTAGCTCAATTGTTGAAGTGCCTGCCTGTGCAAACCCAGTCAGGCTTGCCAGACCGGGGTTCAATCCCCAGCTCCACATGCAACACCACACCACCTGTTAAGGCAGTGTGAGCCTGGCAAAAAAAAAAAAAAATCCTTCTCAACTTTTAGGGGCAGCCAAATAGCTCAGTGTGTAAGGGCCAGGAGTTCGATGCTCAGGCCTGCCATGCCAGCCCCACCCCTGGGGCACACCGAGACAGCGATTGAGACTGTGCATGGTGGTGTACACCTCTAATACCAGCACTTGGGAGGCTATAAACAGGAGAATCACTACAAGTCCAATCTAGTAGTGAGACCCTGAACACCCTATAGATCCTTCCCTAAAATACAGAAAAGAAAAAAAAAAAAAAAAAAAAAAGAGTATAAAGGCCCTAAGACAGAATCACACTGGCATACGCAAGGAACAGCAATCAGGAGACTACCAAACTAGAAGTCGTATTATCCTCTTGATTTAAAAAAAAAAAAAAAAATCTATGCAAGAACTCCTTAGTAGATGCCAAACAAAAGAATGAAAATATGATATCAGATTATAGTTATATTGCTTAACAAACAAAAAGCAGTAATCATGGAATGAGAAGAGGTTAGATTATGGAGAAGAAAATACAAGGCAACCAAAATATATAGGCTTTAAAGGTCACCGTATCATTTTTTCAATTTTATTTATGTGTGTGTGGGGGGGGGGGCCAGCTCAGTCCACCAGGGGGCGGAGCTGGCTGGCATGTGGTGCTGGGGTATTGAACCGTGGTCCCTGTGCTTTGCGAAGCTTGTTCTAAGTAGGTGCTTTAGACCACTGAGCCATCTCACCAGCCCCAACCGTATCATTTTTGATTTCACTTTAAGTAAGGTGAAAAGCCTTGAGGACTCTGAGAGGTGATATGCTATAATATTAAAAAGAACTTACAAAATAAGTTTTCACATTATCTTTAACTGGGATTTAAAAGTACCAATTACAATATCCCCAAAAGATCTCTATGCATTCTTATTGAAACTATTGCAAATAACAGTACATTATTCCTGCCTTCAATACAGGCCTGGACAGAAGTCAAGAGTTACTCTTGGCAAAACCCACACCTTCCTCTTTCTAACCAATACAAGCTCAATTTTGCCTTAGAGATCATTCCTATAAATCCTATGACTCCCTCCAGCCCCAAAGTTTTATGTCAGCCACTAGCCCAAGATACCAGATCTCCCAACCCTATACAGTTTTATTTTTCCCCTAATGTGATCCCATCTCGAATCTTCTACCTATATCCTCAATCACTTTTCCAAATATTCTTTTCTTCTTGTAGCTAAAATGTGGTTCTGCCAGGCATTGTGACACACGCTTATAATCCCCGCACTTGGGAGGTTGAGGCAGGAAGATCACTGCAAATTTGAGACCAGCCTGGGGTACAAAGTGAATTCAAAGCAAGCCTGAATTGCATAGCAAAATCCTGTCTCAAAAAGACAAGAATAAATAAAATAAAATAAAATGTGGCACTCTCCTTCAGTAGTTATTTTCTCTCCCATATCATTAAAAGGAGCCAACGATTAGCAAGGTATGTCCCTCCTTGAACCTTAAAGCCAGTTCCACACCACTAACCCATACACACACTCTCTGAAACAAATACTAATCAGTACATACCACTCAGATGCTCTGCGGTGTTTTGTTGGGTTTTTTTTTCCCCTTCAGCATCCAAACTCTTCTGGGCTACCATGCCATGCCATCCCCCAACCAGTTCCCTAATTATACCCCTAGCCTAGCAAATCTTTTGACTTCTTTTCTCCTAACAAGCTCAAGCTCTAGAGCCTTGGAAGTTGAACTCTCAGCTTTTTCACTCAATAGCTACATGACCTTGGACAAACTACTGAACCTCTACTGGCAGACCTACTACCTTTTTCTCTTCCCAACCTGATGTGCTCACTTCGCAGCTTACCCTGTTATATTTATTCACTTTCTGAAATCCACAATGAATTTCTCCTCCCTCCTGTCCTCTTCCCCTCCCTCCATTCTCAGATTCAGTTCTACATGTACATTTAGGCAGCACACAGTGACAGCAGGAAAGGAAAAAAAAGACCTTGGCCATGCTGGCTGATTTTATTCTGAATTCAAGAACCCTAATTTTAGTAGATCTTTAATACTGTCTGGTATATACCATGTCCCAAAATCAATCACTCTCATTTTAAACTTTCTCCTCAGACCTCAATTTTGTGCTTGTGGATACATGATACTGGGGATTGAACCCATACTATAACTCTACCACTAAGCTAAATCCCAGTCCATTTCACTTTTTACTTTGAGACAGGGTCTCAGTAAATTGCCCAGTCTGTTCAGAATTTGTGATTCTCCTGCCTCAGTCTCCCATGTAGCTCGGATTACAGGCCTGTGCCACCACACCTAGCTCAGCCCTGACTCTTGCTCCATCTTCTAAAGCATCTCTCCTGCTCAAGGCTTTTGTTTTGAGGGTATTATCTTTGTATGTAGTCCTAGCTGGCCTTGAACTCACTATGCAGCCTATACTGCCTTGAATTCAAAGTGATCCTCCTGTCTCAGCCTCCAGCATGCTGGGATTACAGGCACTTGCTACCATGGCCAGCATTCCCCCACTCAATTCTAAGCTAAAAATATTATTTACTATTTCAACTTTAAAAAAAAAAAAAAAAGAAGAAGAAGAAGAAGCAGTCAGAAGAAAACTTACCCTGCTTACATGTCACCATATCTACCATGCCTACTTGCACCTGGACGTTTCCCTAATTCCCATCTCATTTTTCAAACTGTGCTGTAATAGCTGGACATAACACCTCTGTAACCTCAGCATTCAAAAGGCTGAGGCAGGAGGATTACTACAAATTTGAGGCCAATGTAAGATGTATGAGTTCAAGACCACCCTGAACTACACAGCAAGACGTCTCAAAAAATCAAAACAAGGGGCCAGGGAGATGGCTCAGTAGAATAAGCACTTCCCTGGCAAGCACAAGGGCCTAAGTTCAATTCCCACTTCTGGAGAAAAAAAAAAAAACCACCTGTAAAGCTATCCACTTAGTAGCTCCATGTTGGATGTGCAGCAAACCTCTCAGACAACACACCTCATTTCCTATGCTACTATTTCTTGCTGCCCCAAACTTTTACTCAAAATTCTTAGTCATTACTGATACCCTCCTCTTTTAATTCACATCTAATGTATCACTAAATTCTGTTGACTCTACATTCAATTTCAGGAATCAATACTTTCTTACTCCAAACACCTTATCCAAGCTACTACAAAGAAGGGGTAGTCTATTGACTACCGCAAGTACTTCTCTGTTGGCCACTCCAATGCCTCCCTCGTACTTACCTCGCTCCCACACAGCAACTACTGTGCATAATTAGAACATTTCAAGGCACAATTAGAACATTTCACACCACTCAGCAAAATACTCTAGTGGCTTCTGATGTCCTCATTCTTACAAAATCCTAAGTGGTGTGTGATCTCTCACTACCAGTCTCTTTCCTCTATCTCCCCACTTCCTGTCCAGGAATGGTGGAAATGAATGAATTCATCTCCCTTTTGTGTCTTATAAGAAATTCTTACATATGAAAAAGTTTCACTTCCTCTTCCCATACATGAATATTAATATGAGAACAGGGGAAGAGTTTAAAAAATTTTTTTAATCTTTTATTTTTTGGTACAGAGTCTCTCTATTAAGAGATTAATGTGGGGGGGCCTGACCCTAGCTCAGTCCTTTAAGTGGCTGCCTCCACAAAGCTGTCAGCCTCAGGTTGCTGGAGTTCGAACCTCACAACTCTCCGGCTGGCCAAAAGTGCCCTGAAGGCATTCGAGGAAAAAAAAAAAAAAAAGAGAGATTAATGTGGCAGTATATTAGCTGTTGCTAACACTATAAGCCAGTTCAATCAAACACCAAAATACCACTGATGAATTTAACTGTGGTGCTGATGATCTTTAAAAGAAACATTATACCGTGACTGCCAGCAGCATCTTGTTGGAATATCTGATAGCTGTTTAGGATACCTAAGAGAGCTAAAGAAGCTGTTATCAGATTCACCAAAGTTGGGAAAAACTATCCATTAGATCCTCAGTAGAGATGACTCCTACAAGTTATTTTGGAACTAATATGAAAGTAAAACAACTGTAACCAAAAAAAAAAAAAAAAAAAATCACTTGGCTGACAATAAAGAGTTCAATAATGAAAGACATACCAATATTAGCCAATGACAAATTAAGAGTCACATCTATACCTCAGCATGAACACACATAGTTTTATATTACGTTAATTATGACCTAGTCCCACCTTCCAAAGACAAACAGAGCTGGACATGATGGCAGACATCTATGACTCCAGCACTCAGAGAGCTGAAGCAAAAGGATCACTGTGAGTTTGAGGCTGGCTTGAACTACATAGTAAGATAGAAAAAAATAAATAAAAGATCAATATAACAACCACTAGTAGTTCTTGTAACACAAAGTAAATATTAGGTACTTTTATTATAAACCAGTGTCTCTGACATCATATTTATGCTATTCAAAAAGGATATATGGAGGCTGGGGCCTAGCATGGTGTAGCACTAGTAAATCTTATGTGCAAAAGCTGGAATTAATTTTGTGTGTGGATGTGTGGATGTGTGTGTGTGTGTGTGTGTGTACATTATTCTTACAAAGCTTTCAAAACTCAGGTAAATTGAATAATTAAACTGAAGTAAAGTATTAAAGAACATGAGTTTTCTGAATCTTATCCTGATTTTATCTACCAAGTTGCATGATCCTGGACAAGTCACTGAACTTTAATTGCATGTCTATGATGTGCCAGGCTACAAATTATTTTATACAAGCCTCACAATGAGTCTCAATATAAATAACATTAAGAGTCAGAAATAGGTTAAATAATATAGCCTAAATTCACATAGCTCATACAGAAATGAAATGCCAAATCCAACTCACATGATTCAAATCAAGTTATCTCCAAAGTCCATTTTCAGGCCTAAAATTCTGGGACTAAATAAAAATCTAAACTGTCTTCCCTGACCTTCTGAAAATGCTTTAACCAAACCCACTTCCAAATAAGTCACTGCCAATGTTATAATATCCCTGAGGCAGTAAGAAGTTAAATAACACTATATTAGAGCTGATAGCAAATATGCACAACAAAATTGTAGCCCCATGACATAAATTCCTCTATAAATTTCCAAAGACATTACACAACATAAATAGGGTTTTCATAGTAATTTGAATCATGTTTACATTATTTGAGGAAAAGACTACTTCCCATTAAATGTTAATTTCCCTGCATTATAAGCCGCGCCAGCCACACCCCTGGGCACACTGAGCCAGACATCGAGACCAGGTGTGGTAGCACACACCTGGACCCAGTGCTGGGGAGGCTGAAACAGGAGGATCACTACAAGTCCGAGCTATGTAGTGAGACCCTGTGCCAAATACATTTTTTTTTAAATCCTTTAAATGTTAACAAATAAGATTTAAAGGTAGATAGAGGCTTTAGTAAAATATTATGGTACAATATCTCAAGAGGTTGAGGAGGTAGAAGTTGTAACTTAAGAGTTGCAGTGTGCAAGGTCCAAGAGTTTGCAGTATCACACAAAAAAGTTGAAATTTCATTTGTTGACAAATTACTATTATCTTAAGTCATTTCAACTTTTTCCTCTTTCAAAATGCAAACTAAAAAATTACTATCCAAATCATCCCTGTGGAAAAATACCCAATATCTACTTATTTTTAATAAAAACAAAGATAATTTTTAAATTCTCCACTCCAACCACAATAAAGAATTTAGACACTTACTACCTGTATTAACTTACCTGCATGAGCAATAATCCAACAATAAAAGCACTTCCTTGACAGTAACCAACTTCACGATCCACTAAAGAATATGCCTAAAAAGTAAAAAATAGTATTCAAAATACTTCAATATCATATATTATACTTTCCTTCTCTAAAAATGTAAATTGAAGATAGGGCGTGGTGGCGCACACCTGTAATCCCAGCTCTTGGGAGGCCATAAACAGGCAGGTCACTACAAATCCGATCTAGTAGAGAGAACCTGAACACCCAGTAGACCCTTCCCTAAAAATACAAAAAAAAAATAAAAAATAAATAAAAATGTAAATTGGTGAGGCAAGCAGATTAAAGCATTTTTTAGAAAAGCTTCTGTTTACTTATTACAGATGTTATTCTGGGGTTTTTTTGTTTGTTTGGTTTTGGTTTTTGGTTTTTTGGTTCTCTGAGAAAAGGTCTCACTAGGCTGGCCTCAAACTTACTATTGGCCCAGGCTGGCCTCATGAACTCACATGGATTTTCCTACCTCAGCCTCCCAACTGCTGGGATTCCAGGCACATGCCACCATGCCTGGCTTTTATCCTTTTTTTTCATTTGTGTATTTGGTACAGGGTCTCACTACACATATCAGACTCATGGCAATCCTCCTGTTTTCAGCCTCCCTAGCACTGGGATTAGAGGCATGTGCCACCACACCCAGACTCTGTCACTGGCTCAACATGTCCTGGGGCAGGGTCGGCACCTGCATGCAGGACCAGAAATCAAATCCTTGTTATCCTATTTTAAAAGCAAATGTTCTACTACATAAAATTTCCTTTTCACAATTTCACAATTAGAAAGCAGTAGTTCTTACAAGCAAAGGAAAAAATATAATGTGGAAAAGCTTTAATATCAAGGAAAATTTATATCTCATAAAGATAAAACTATGGGTCAGTGAGCTAGCTCAGTGGTCTAAAGCACCTACTTAGGCAAGCTTTGGCAAGTGCAGGGACCACATTTTGATCCATGGTACCACATGTCGATCCAGCCCTGCACCCAGGGTGGGCTGAGCCTGCCACAGAAAAAGAAAAGAAGAAACAGGCATATGCCACCATGAATGGCCAGACAGCATTTTATTGAAGAGCAACTTTGAGATGAATTAAACAGTAAGATTTTGGTGTGAATGAGACGACCCTGGGCCCGCAGATCCTGGATAGACCCAGAGTGCAGGGCCCCGTGTGAGTGAGACCGCCTGGGGCTCGCGGATCCTGAACAGACCCAGAGGGCAGGCCCGCATGTGAGTGAGACCACACAGGGCTCGCAGATCCTAAATAAACCCAGAGCACAGGCCCAGTGTGGAATCCTTCAGCAGAACTCCCTGCAAAGAGACTAGAGGCAAGACCCACCCAGCTGACTGAGGAGCAGAATATCTTGCCTGAGTGACACAAAAGGTTCAACTTCAATGGCTGCAGCAGAAAGAAGTAGAGCATATCAGCCAGACTCCAGCCAGATCCAAGCAACACTCACCTGGAGGAATCTGAACTTCGTAGATCCGGACCTAGTGTTAATGTAATAACCCTGTCTAAGCTCTACACCAAACATCAGAAGACAGTGGTATACAAAATGACAAAGAGAAGGAACAAAATGCAGTCTCAGGCCCTGCATCCACCCACTACGAATGCAGAAGACACTAGCATAGAGAAAACTGGAAATCACACACCTGATATCTCTGAAATAATAGCACTGACAGTAAAGAAACAACTGCAGAAAGGTATAGAAGAAATCAGATCAGAAATAATTCTGAACTAAAAAATTTAGTGATATCTATAATCAAAGAAGTACTAAGTGCTTCTAAAGAATACACTGATAAAAAAAAATAGAGCAGAATATAAAAATGATGGAACCCCTGAATAAGCAATTTAGGAAATAAATAGAATGTATGAAACAGGTTCAAAGTGATATACAGGAAATTAAAACCTCAATCACAAGCTGGCAAAACCCTTTGAGGGAAAGTGAAAATACTTTCTGACCTTAAAGACACCATTGCAGCTAGTGAAAAAGTAAAAAAAGATCTCTTTAAAACAACTAGGATGCAGGAAAAAATAATTCAAAATGTGCAAGACGATGCAAAGATGAACAACGTGAGACTAATAGGCATCAGTGAGAAGGAAGGAGTCAACACAAATGATATAAAAAAGAATATGGGCAGAAGTAATAGCAGAAAACTTTCCAAAGATGGGGCAACAATCTGACATTCAGTAACCGAAGCATACAGAACACCAAACAACATCAACCCAATGAAAACCACACCCAGATATATAATAATCAAGATCCCAGAAATTCAGCACAGGAACAGTATAAAAGCCACTAAAGAAAAGAAACAGATCACATTTAAAGAAAAACCCATCAGAATAACAGCAGATTTCTCTTCACAAACCATCAAGTCAAGAAGAGAATGGAGCAAAGTTCTTCAAGTCTTGCAAGAAAACAAATTCCAACCCAGACTGATCTATCCTGCAAAACTCTCTCTCAAGTATAATGGAGAAGTGAAATACTTCCATGACAAAGAACAACTGAAGAATTTCATGATGACAAAGCCAAGCCTACACAGACTACTAAATGATGTTCTAGAGAGGGA